CTGTAGTTTCCCCATCTGGTAATGTCTTTGTATAGTTTTAGTGTTAGGGTAATGCTGTTCGAAATGTTGCCTTTCCTTCTCTTTTCTGGAAGAGATTGCAGAGAATTGTTACCACTTCTTCCTTAAATGTTTGGTAGAATTCACCAGTGAAATTATCTATGCCTGGTGCTTCTGTTTTTAAAATTTATTTACTATTGATATAATTTCCTTAACAGTTGTAGTCCTATTCAGATTATCTGTTCCTACTTGTGTGAGTTTTGATAGATTATTATACTTTTCAAAGAATTGGTCCATTTTACCTGTCAATTTTAGGGGCATAGAGCTGTTTTTAATGCCTTTCCTACTCTTTTTTTTGTGTGTGTACTGCTAGAGACTCCTCTACACTCATCAAAAGTGAAACTGATTTTCACCTATTCAATGAAGCCAGAGTTCTAGTTTTCTGAACTATGTTTTATAAGTGTCTCAGTATGGTTATTTCCTTTCTCTTTTTTTTGAGGCTGAGTCTCATTCTCTCACCCGGGCTAGAGCATCTTGATGCCTCAGTCCAGCTCACAGCAACCTCAAACTCCTGGACTCAAGCAGTCCTCCTACCTCAGCCTCCCAAGTTGCTGGGACTACAGGCTTATGCTACCATGCCCGGCTATTTTTTGCTATTTTTAGTAGAAACTCCTGACCTCCCATCTCAGCCTCCCCAAGTGCTAGGATTATGGGTGTGAGCCACTGTGCCTGACCCAGTTATATTTTCTTTTTTTTTTTTTTTTCGCTTTGTTGCCCAGGCTAGAGTGAGTGCCGTGGCGTCAGCCTAGCTCACAGCAACCTCAAACTCCTGGGCTCAAGCGATCCTTCTGTCTCAGCCTCCCAAGTAGCTGGGACTACAGGCATGTGCCACCATGCCCGGCTAATTTTTTCTATATATATTAGTTGGCTAATTAGTTTATTTCTATTTATAGTAGAGACGGGGTCCCGCTCTTGCTCAGGCTGGTTTCAAACTTCTGACCTCGAGCAATCCGCCCGCCTCGGCCTCCCAGAGAGCTAGGATTACAGGGGTGAGCCACCGCGCCCGGCCGCAGTTATATTTTCTATTGCAACTATTTCTTACTTATATATATTTTTTTAAGATATGGAAATGTAGGGCATTCTTTCTTTATATTTCCTTACCACCTAGCACATAGCAGATAATAAATGTTTAAATGACTCGAATTCACATGGTGAAATTTAATAGACTGTATACACCAAATAGATAATACAAAGGAATAAAATCAGCTGCTCTGGTTGCTCAGCTTTATTGGCTTTGTACTTAGTAATTAATAATTAAACACCAACTGCTTTCTGAACAGAAGAAACAAATACCAGAAAGCATAAAATGGTTATAATGATATTATTATCTAATATTTGAGAACTTACTGCATACCAGTATATGTACTGGTGCTTACTATATACCATGTGTAGACTTTTATATATGTATTTTTGTTTAATCTTCACAACAAGCATGTGAGATAAGTGGTGGTATCTGCATTTGATAGGTGAGGAAACCAAATCACATAGAAGTTAAGTTTCTTGTCCAGAGTTGGTGTGGTAAGTGAAGATAGCTAAACACAAACACCAAAACCTGGACTTTTAGACAATATGCTATACTGCTACACCATTATACCAGTTAAAGTGAAGGGAAAAATCATTAGTATTGTAAGAAATCATCTTAGTGTGTGACTGTTTCTGTATAAGAGGTATCATGTCATTGCTTTAGAAACAGCATAATTAATACTTTGTAGTAATATGGATTGTTTTAAAAGTATAAAGAGAACTGAAACATTGCCCCAAGTACCAGCATTTTAATAACAATATAGTGATGGCTGTTTTTTAAAATTTTTATTTATGTTATTTTTTTTTGAGGTGGAGTTTCCCTATTTTACTCAGGTAGAAGCTGGCTATTCCAAGGTACAATAATAGTACACTACAGCCTCCGACTCCTGGCCTCAAGTGATGCTGCTGGGTAGCTCGGTGTATGTGCTCATGTCACCACACCCAGCTCACTGATGGCTATTTTGAGAGACAGTCTAGCATAATGATTAAGTGCACAAGCATTGGTAGCTTGGGTTCAGTTTCCTAGCTCTGCCTCCTAAATAGCTTTTTGATCTTTGGCGAATTACATTAAAACTTTGTCTGTTAAATGGGGATAAAAATAATACTTGCCTTTTAGGGCTATTGTAAGGATTGAATGAGTTGACACATGTAAGGTACTTAGAATCGTTTTTTAATTTTTGTTTTTGTTTTTTAGAGAGTCTTGCTCTGTTGCCTGGGCTAGAGTGCTCTGGCATCAGCCTAGGTCACAGCAACCTCAAACTCCTAGGCTCAAGCGATCTTCCTGCCTCAGTTTCCCATGTAGCTAGTACTCACCACCATGTCTGGCTAATTTTTTGTTTCTATTTTTTTAGTTGCCCGGCTAATTTTTTCTATTTTTAGTAGAGACCAGGTCTTGCTCTTGTTCAGGCTGTTCTTCAACTCCCGACCTCAAGTGAACCTCCTGCCTCAGCCTCCTGGCGCGCTATTACAGGCATGAGCCACTGTGCAGGCCCTTAGAATAGTTCTTTATAGATGAAAGGACAGTGGGTCTTGTGAGCAAAACAAATCAGCTTTGCTCCTTCTCCACCTAGGTAACTGGTGCCCTGCTGAACTCTGACCATCTCAAAGGAGCCCTGCCACACAAAGGGAAATGTAATTTTTTTTTTTTTTCTTTTTTTTTCTGTGCTAGACCTATTGACTAACACTGCCTTTTAGCATCTGTTTCTACACCTGGAGCAGTTCCTGAAAAGTTCTTGGATGACTGCATGGGGGACAATCTCCAGGCTTCAAACCCAACACAAAAATCATATCTTGAGGGCATGGTCCTTTTATCCCTTAAACAAAGGGAAGGAATGCAGTAGTTGCACACAACAGATTCCATTATCTGCTTGGAGTTAAGAAGAAGGGAAGGAGGGGATTCAGCAATTCACAACAATTAACTATTTTTTCTTTCTGTCCCCAGAAAAACTGTTAGCCACTTGGCTAGCTGCTGGCATCTCCCTTTTCTTTCTTTAGGATACAAGGCCATCTCTCTGTTGTCCCCTCCCCTTTTCCTCTATCTCTCTCTTTCTCATTCTGTCTTTCTAAAAGATAAAATAAATTTTACTTTTATATCTTAATTCCTGATGAGAAATCTTTCTCCACCCACATGCTGAGCACCTGCTATGCCTTTCCACCCTAACAGTAGAATATCAAGGTTAGTAGCATAGTCTTGGGAGACAGATTAGCAGCAGGGTTTGTGTGGAGTATTTATTTACATTGTAGTTCGTGGCACAATATAAGAGCTATAAAAGTATCAGTAGTAGTTTTTATTTATAGAATCTGAGAAAGTATATTTCAATACTTTTTAAAATTTCTTGCACAGTCTCAGTCTTAGCCAGACCCTTCTTTTTGTAGCATACAACATCATAGGTGGTATTTCTTGTATGATGAAATGTAAATAAAAAATGTGTGGTAGCTCTTGCCTATACTCCCAGCAAACGTGGGAAGCTAAGGCAGGAAGATCACTTGAGCCCAAGCATTAAAGGCTGCGGGGAGCTATGATCGTGCCACTCTGCTCCAGCCTAGGCAACAGGGCAAGACCCAGTCTAAATAAATAAATATGTATGTATGTATGTGTGCACTAATGTGTGTATATATATATATATATACCAGTATTGAACTACTATAAATAAAGTCTTGAGTGGGAAATCTCATTCCGAAGTGTGCACAGGAGCAAAATTATGGTTTTTCCTGATGCATTGTCACCTTTAGTTTCAAGGTGTATTTTCTTTTACCAAAAAACACATAGTAACCTCTTTTAAGGTGATTTTGAGCTCTTTGAAAAGAATACATTATTGGCCGGGTGAGGTGTAATCCTAGCACTCTTGGAGGCTGAGGCAGGTGGATTGCTCGAGGTCAGGAGTTCGAAACCAGCCTGAGCAAGAGCAAGACCCCGTCTCTACTATAAATATAAAGAAATTAATTGGCCAACTAATAAATATAGAAACAATTAGCCGGGCATGGTGGCTCAAGCCTGTAGTCCCAGCTACTTGGGAGGCTGAGGCAGAAGGATTGCTTGAGCCCAGGAGTTTGAGGTTGCTGTGAGCTAGGCTGATGCCACGGCACTCACTCTAGCCTGGGCAACAAAGTGAGACTCTGCCTCAAAAAGAAAAAGAATACATTATTTACCCTGTACCAATGGTTCTTGACCTGGAGAGATTTTGCCCCCGGACAATTTGGCAATGTGTAGAGACATTTTTGGTTGTTATAACACTGGAGAGAGGGGATGGAGAGGATAGGATGTGCATACTGCTGGCATCTAGTGGGTAAAGGCTATCCTGTATAAATATTCTGCATAGGAAAGCTCACACACAAAGCATTATCCCTCTTTAAATGTCAATAGACCGGAGGTTGAGAAAACACTGCTGTGGACTAAAAAGGGGTTTATGACTTCCCCAAGATCATATATCTATTATATTAACTTAAAAAGGGCCTGGACCACATGCGGTGGCTCATGCCTGTAATCCTAGCACTCTGGGAGGCTGAGGCAGGAGGATCGCTTGAGGTCAGGAGTTCGAGACCAGCCTGAGGAAGAATGAGACCCACCCCCCCACCCCGATCTCTACTAAAAATAGAAAGAAATTAGCCAGACAACTAAAAATATATATAGAAAAAATTAGCCGGGCATCGTGGCGCATGCCTGTAGTCCCAGCTACTCGGGAGGCTGAGGCAGAAGGATTGCTTGAACCCAGGAGTTTGAGATTGCTATGAGCTGGACTGACCCCACAGCACTCTAACCAGGAAAACAGAGCAAGACCTTGTCTCAAAAAAAAAAAAAAATGCCTGAGCTATAGTCATGGAGGTAGCATCTCAGTTCAGCATCCTTTAACTAGAACAACTTATGAAAATTTTTAGAGAACTGATAGTCAATGTTGCTTATTTTTCTTTTTTTTGTTTAGGGCTTGTGAAACAGGATCTGACAATCAACCTCTTAGTGATAATCAAACAAACTGTGAATATTTTGTTGACAGCCTTTTTGAGGAAGCTCAGAAGGTTGGTGCCAAGTGTTTGTCCCCCACTGAACAGAAGAAACAGGTAAATATTTGTCCATTACATTTTTTCTCTTCCAGAATTTCTCAAAATATATAGGACTTTAAGAAGGTCCCTAAGATGAAAACTATTTTCATAATAGTAAGATATTATTAACTTTTTTCACTGTATTCACTTTGCACCAATATTGCAAAACCAGTGGTGGATAAAACTTCAGTAGGAATGACACCTTATAGGAATCAAGGCAGTGGCAATAATACTAGTTACAGGATGATTATAGGTTGAGCATCTCAAACCCTAAAATGCTCCAAAATATAAAACTTTTTTTTTTTTTTTGAGGCAGAGTCTTGTTGCCCTGGCTAGAGTACCATGGCGTCAGCCTAGATCATAGCAACCTCAAACTCCTGGGCTCAAGCGATCCTTCTGCCTCAGCCTCCATAGTCATGTGCCACCATACCCAGCTAATTTTTTCTATGTGTTTTTAGTTGGCCAATTAATTTCTTTCTATTTATAGTAGAGACGGGGTCTTGCTCATGCTCAGGCTGGTTTGGAACTCCTGACCTCATGCAATACACCTGCCTCGGCCTCCCGAGTGCTAGGATTACAGGCGTGAGCCACCACACCCATAAAGCATTTCCACAACATACAGAAGTGTCTTGAGGAAAACTGCAATTGTTTGAGATGTAAGCTGAACTGTTTGCTTTTTCATGGCATATTGTTCTTGTATGAAAACATGAATTACACATAGACTATGGTTATTCCTACTTGGATAGTCACCATTTTCTTTTTTTTTTTTTTTTTTGAGACAAAGTCTCACTCTGTTGCGCTAGAGTGAGTGCCGTGGCATCAGCCCAGCTCACAGCAACCTCAAACTCCTGGGCTCGAGTGATCCTTCTGCCTCAGCCTCCCGAGTAGCTGGGACCACAGGCATGTGCCACTATGCCTGGCTAATTTTTTATATATATATATCAGTTGGCCAATTAATTTCTTTCTGTTTATAGTAGAGACGGGGTCTCGCTCTTGCTCAGGCTGGTTTTGAACTCCCGACCTTGAGCAATCCGCCCGCCTCGGCCTCCCAAGAGCTAGAATTACAGGCGTGAGCCACAGCGCCCGGCACCATTTTCTAATCATGAATGAAGTGAACCTGGTGCTGCAAGGAAAACAAGTTATTGTATTTGTTGCAAACGAGAGAACTTTTATTTAACCAACTTTTTTACTAAAAATAAGAATTTTGGAAAACTGCAACCATGGACTTATCAGCTTCTCAAAACTTAGAGAATTTCCAGATAAGATCAGTGTCATTTTAATGAGTATAATTTTTTTTATCATATAATGAGGTATATTAGCAGTTGGAAGATTTGCACAATGCAGAGAACCAGTTTTTTCCAAATGACCAATATGTAACAGAGGGAATGGCCTGGAAAAAATGGCAAAAATAGTTTCTTTCTCCTTAAAAATCCTCCACTCCTTTTTGTGAACTAACGCCTGTCTCCCTGCCTCAGGCCAGTGGTTGGGAGGGGCAGGGTAAGTCTTTTGTTTCTTTGTGCAACAGGATATGGCTCATTCGGGACCTTGTAGGGGGAGGTCCTGGGCGGTGGTTATGAGATTGTCTTCTGGGAGAAGATGGGACCAGAGTCCTCAACTGTAGTTGAACAGTAATTGCCTGAAGCTGAGAACCCATCCTTAAAGTGCTGTCTCTGGGCCTGGCACGGTGACTCACGCCTGTAATCCTAGCACTCTGGGAGGCCGAACGGCCGGATAGCTCAAGGTCAGGAGTTTGAAACCAGCCTGAGCAAGAGTGAGACCCCGTCTCCACTATAAATAGAAAGAAATTAATTGGCCAACTAATACATATATAGAAAAAATAGCCGGGCATGGTGGCACATGCCTGTAGTCCCAGCTACTCAGGAGCCTGAGGCAGGAGGATCTCTTGTCTAGGCTGACGCCAGGGCACTCACTCTAGCCTGGGCAACAAAGCGAGACTCTGTCTAAAAAAAAAAAGTGCTGTCTCTGGCTAACGCCTATAATCCTAGCACTCTGGGAGGTCTAAGTGGGAGCATCCCTCCAGGTCAGGAGTTCAAAACCAGCCTGAGCAAGTGTGAGATCCCGTCTCTACTATAAATTGAAAGAAATTAATTCACCAACTAAAAATATATAGAAAAGAAAATGAGCTGGGTATGGTGGGGCATGCCTGTAGGCCCAGCTACTCGGGAGGCTGAGGCAGAAGGATTGCTTGAGCCTAGGAGTTTGAGGTTGCTGTGAGCTAGGCTGATGCCATGGCACTCTAGCCTGGGCAGAGTGATACTCTGTCTCAAAAAAAAAAAGTTCTGTCTCTGAGAACAATCAGGAAATTTGGATTTTGACGAGATATTTACCATTTTTCCTTCCTCCTTAAACTACTTGTCTTTGTTCTTCTATTTTGGCCTTGTGGACAAGTGGCCAAGATTTCAGTAACAAATATATGATGTTATAAAATGATGCATAAATAAAAGAGCCAAAGTGTCACATACACTAAAGGATTTTAATGTAAAAAGTATATGAAACAAAACTTTAAGTTTCAGATTCCAAATTTGGGTCTGAACTAACTTTTGAGATACTACTTATTAAAATTTGATGACATGTCAAAGAAGAATATCCTGGGAAAGCTAGTTAATAATAAATATTTTTTCTAACTATATATCTGTATGAGAGTTGATTTAAAAATATATATAATCAAAATTACATACCATAGCAGACTGAAAGTAGTAACCATTATGAGAATCCAGCTGACATTTTGAAGTCAGATGTCAAAAGGGTTTGTGAGGCCGGGCGCTGTGGCTCACGCCTGTAATCCTAGCTCTTGGGAGGCCGAGGCGGGCGGATTGCTCAAGGTCAGGAGTTCAAAACCAGCCTGAGCGAGACCCCGTCTCTACTATAAATAGAAAGAAATTAATTGGCCAACTGATATATATATAAAAAAAAAAATTAGCCGGGCATGGTGGCGCATGCCTGTAGTCCCAGCTACCCGGGAGGCTGAGGCAGAAAGGATTGCTTGAGCCCAGGAGTTTGAGGTTGCTGTGAGCTAGGCTGATGCCACGGCACTCACTCTAGCCTGGGCAACAAAGCGAGACTCTGTCTAAAAAAAAAAAAAAGGGTTTGTGAAAAATCCCTTCACTGTGATTTGGTTTTTAAATTAGTTTAAAATTTTCCCAAGTTTTAGTTATAAAAATTTGAAGCCTAATAGTTTGGAAAAGCTTATGTTGAAAAACAGGAACGGTATTTGTCCTTGGCCCTGATGTCTAACTTCCAAAAGACAACCACCTAGCTATTTCTTCTGGTATGAGTTTTGTGTTTCTGATAATATACTAATAATGACAGCTCTTTTTTTTTTGACTCGTCAAAGTGCAATAATGAGAAGGGAATGATAGCTCTTGATTTTTCAGATGTCCAAATAACACGTTGACTTTTTATTATAGAAAATGGGGATTTAGGCCAGGATGGTTGGTTGCTCATGCCTGTAATCCTAGCACTCTGGAAGGCTGAGGCAGGTTGATTGCTCAAGGTCAGGAGTTCGAAACCAGCCTGAACAAGAATAAGACCCCGTCTGTACTAAAAATAGAAAGAAATTAGAGGGACAACTAAAAATATATAGAGAAAAAATGAGCCGGGCATGATGGCACATTGCCTGTAATCCCAGCTACTCAGGAGGCTGAGGCAGGAGGATCAAAGAATCTTCATGGCCACCAGACACTATGTGTCTCCAGAGTAGCAATTACAGAGAAGCAAACAAGGGGACACTGAATAATTATCATCATTATTTTTAGCTAGGCCAGTGCCTTCACAGAATTTTTAGGCCCTTACCCCAGTGCTCACCTTGTACTCCTTTATTGGAAATGGCAGTTCAGTTCCCCCCTGGGCTTTTACCCAGCCTCATTCCTGAGATTCGGGCAAATGAGAAGGGAAAGGGCAGACCACCACTGTGGCTTTTTCCGGCATTGTTATCAATGTGCACATCTGGAGTTCCCATCTCCATGAATGGCAAATTTCTGGATACCTTTGAGTGTCCGAGGATCTCTTTGAGTGTTCAAGGGGTGGGCATCTTAAAGCACATGCCATGATGTGCTTGTGAATGTTGATGGTGTATCCTGGGGTCACTACCTCATTGATAGCACAATCTCCATTCTCGCCATCCTTCTTTGCAGTAGCCATCCTGTTGGGCCCAAGTTGGAAAACAGCAGGATGTTGTTTTTAAGTTTCTTCTCTTCCTCAGTATCATTTTTAATACGCTCTTTTTCTATTTGTTTTGTTCGTTGTCTTTTGTGTGAATACCATAAGAACAGAGAGAGACTTGGCAATTTGGTTATAGATATAAAAGGGACAGTACAGTATAGTGGTTAAGAGTATGGGTTCTGGATGCAGACTCCTTGGTTTCAAGCTTCAGCTCCACCCCTTACTATGTGACTTTGGGTGATATAAGTAATCTTCTGTGTTTCTGTCTCACCATCTGTAAAAATGATAATGCCTACCTTATGGAGATGTTGGGAGGAGTGAATAAGTTTATGTAGGGAAAGTGCTTTATTTATTTTTTTGAGACAGAGTCTCACTCTGTTGCCAGAGCCAGAGTGCTATGACGTCAGCCTAGCTCACAGCAACCTCAAACTCCTGGGCTCAAGCAATCCTTCGCCTCAGCCTCCTGAGTAGCTGGCACTACAGGCATGTGCCACCATGCCTGGCTGATTTTTTCTATATATTTCTAGTTGGCCAATTAATTTCTTTCTATTTTTTTTTTTAGTAGAGACAGGGTCTTGCTCTTGCTCAGGCTGGTTTCGAACTTCTGAGCTCAAATGATCCGCTCGCTTGGGCCTCCCAGAGTCATAACTTCTTAAACAGTTTTTCACTCAGTCCTCTTATGTTCAGTCTGAAGCATCCCTGCATTCTGCTGTATTTCTGAACCTTTGAAGATTTCTATAGTGACTTACCTTGTTTCTTTGATTGAATGAGTGAATAAATATCCTTATAAGCTGAAAGCATTGAAGGATGAGATATTGATAATAACAGCCTAACACTGATATTTTATATTTGAAGGTATAACCATTAATTGGTCATAGTTTTTTTCTCCTCTGTACATTATTGTTTAGTATTCAAAGTCATTTCAAATAAAGTCCTTCCCCAACTGTTGAGAAGTCTGTTATAGACAGAAGGCTCTACCTCAGTTGACCTCTGAGACAGACAGGATACAGAGCATTTCTCCAAATGGGTTCTCTTAAAATTATTAAAGATTTATTTTAAAATATTACCCATAATGAATCATAATATATGTACTTTAAAAAATATTTTACATTTGAAGTTTGCTTGTAAGGATACATAAAATATATAGTGATAGAAGAAATTTTCAAAGGACTTATCTTATTAACATGATACATTTTGTTACTGTGTTGCAGGTAGATGTAAGTATAAAATTATGGAAAAATGGATTCACAGTCAATGATGATTTCAGAAGTTATTCTGATGGCGCAAGTCAGCAGTTCCTGAACTCTATCAAAAAGGGGTAAGGATTTCAAAGTCACCTCTGCTGGGGAAAAAACTTAAAAAAAATTTTTTTTTAATTATAAAAAATATTTTTATATAAACAAAAAATAAAAATTAAAAGAAAAGGGGTAAGGAGTCTTTGTAATACAAGGGTATTTTAGGCATGTTTCATATGAAAGAACCCATTTTAATGTTTTCACACCCTTACACATTCACAGATATACTTTTTCTTTTGTAAATTCACATTTTCATAAGATGGGTTTTCTTAAGATAATCACAACAGTAATTTTGAAGAAAGTTTAGGAACTTGAATTCTATTTTTTTTTTTTTTTTTTTTTTTGAGACAGAGTCTCACTCTGTTGCCCAGGCTAGAGTGCCTTGGCGTCAGCCTAGGCACGGCAGACTCAAACTCCTGGGCTCAGGCGATCCTACTGCCTCAGCCTCTCGAGTAACTGGAACTACAGGCATGCGCCACCATGCCCACCTAATTTTTTCTATATATTTTTAGTTGACCAATTAATTTCTTTCTATTTTTTTTAGTAGAGATGGGGTCTCACTGTTGCTCAGGCTGGTTTCGAAGTCCTGACCTTGAGTGATCCTCCCACCTCAGCCTCCCAGAGTGCTAGGATTACAGGCGTGAGCCACCATGCCTGGCATAACATGAATTCTGATAAACCAAAATCTCAAACTAATTCGCTTTGCCAAGAATTCCCTTGTAGCACATCTTTCTTATTTAATATTTATGTTTAGATGTTTATAATATATCTTTAAAGTTGTGATATTTATTATATTTATGATTCTAAATATTATACATACTTGGTCTAGAAAATGTTTTTAAATATTAAGAAGAATTTAAAAGTCCTTCTTCTGCCGCTCCTGGTGGTGCTTGTGTGCTCGTTTGGTGCGGACCTGGTACCTCTTTTTTGAAGCGGCAGCTGAGGAGACTCCGGCACTCGGCATGGCCAACGAAAAGCCTAAGGAAGGAGTCAGGACTGAGAACAACGATCACATTAATTTGAAGATGGCGGGACAGGATGGCTCTGTGGTGCAGTTTAAGATTAAGAGGCATACACCACTTAGTAAACTAATGAAAGCTTATTGTGAATGACAGGGTTTGTCAATGAGGCAGATCAGATTCTGATTTGATGAGCAGCCAATCAATGAAACAGACACACCTGCACAGTTGGAAATGGAGGACAAAGATACAATTGATCTGTTCCAACAGCAGACAGGAGGTGTCTACTAAAAAGGGAACCTGCTACTATACTCCAGAACTCTGTTGTTACAGACCAAGATTACATTCTCAATTAGAAAACTGCAATTTGGTTCCACCACATCCTGACTACTACAGTATAGTTTTCTCTATTCTTTCATTTTCCCCTTCCCCATTCCTTTATTGTACATAAAGTAACTGGTGTATGTGCACAAGCATGTTGCATTTTATTTTTAACTAAATAGCCAATGGTATGTTTTGATTGACATCAAGTGGAGATGGGATGGGGAAAAATACTGGTTCTGTGAAAATACCCCCTTTCTCCATTAGTGGCATGCTCATTCAGCTCTTATCTTTATATTCCAGTAAGTTATTTTGCTCTCATTGTTTTGGCAGACTCAAACTCCTGGGCTCAGGCGATCCTACTCGCCTCAGCCTCTCGAGTAACTGGAACTACAGGCATGCGCCACCATGCCCCACCTAATTTTTTCTATATATTTTAGTTGACCAATTAATTTCTTCTATTTTTTTTAGTAGAGATGGGCTCTCACTGTTGCTCAGGCTGGTTTCGAAGTCCTGACCTTGAGTGATCCTCCCACCTCAGCCTCCCAGAGTGCTAGGATTACAGGCGTGAGCCACCATGCCCTGGCATAACATGAATTCCTGATAAACCAAAATCTCCAAACTAATTCGCTTTGCCAAGAATTCCCTTGTAGCACATCTTTCTTATTTAATATTTATGTTTAGATGTTTATAATACTTAGAGTCTTTAAAGTTGTGATATTTATTATATTTATGATTCTAACATATTATACATACTTGGTCTAGAAAATGTTTTTAAATATTAGAAGAATTTAAAGTCCTTCTTCTGCCCTCCCTGGTGGTGCTTGCGTGCCTCGTTTGTGGCGGACCTGGTACCTCTTTTTTGCGAACGGCAGCTGAGGAGACTCCGGCACTCGCATGGCCAACGAAAAGCCTAAGGAAGGAGTCAGGACTGAGAACAACGATCACATTAATTTGAAGATGGCGGGACAGGATGGCTCTGTGGTGCAGTTTAAGATTAAGCAGGCATACACCACTTAGTAAACTAATGAAAGCTTATTGTGAATGACAGGGTTTGTCAATGAGGCAGATCAGATTCTGATTTGATGAGCAGCCAATCAATGAAACGACACACCTGCACAGTTGGAAATGGAGGACAAAGATACCAATTGATCGTGTTCCAACAGCAGACAGGAGGTGTCTACTAAAAAGGGAACCTGCTACTATACTACACACCAGAACAGTCTTTTTACAGACCAAGATTCTATACATCAATATATACATAGCATATATAGTCACACTTACACATTACTTCATACATATTTCAATACATAATATACTATATCATTTCTGCGCCCGCTTCCACCATTCCTATAAAAATAATGAGAATAAATATAACTGGTAAGAATAAAGTGCACAAGCCGTGTTCGCATCTTTACTTGTTTCAACTAACACAAATACGACCACATGCGTATCGTCTTTGATTGCGACACACAAGTGGCCAGATGGGCTGGCGACAAAAACTACTGCGTTCTGTGAAAATCCCCAACAAAACACCCTAATATAAATACACATATATAGATCATACTCAACTTCACTCATTATCATATATAATAATACCAGACAGTTATTTTTGACTCTCATTTATAATTCCAAACAAAACACAACAGTAACTAACATTATAAACAAAAAAAACAGACCAACAGACATACATAGAGAGATACTACAACACACCATATATAAGCCTACTATGGAGACCAGAGCGCTTGCTCAAGGTCAGGAGATTACCATACAAACCTTGAGCACATGAGCGAGACCCGTCTCTACTTACAATAGAAAGAAATTCAATTGGCCAACTGATCAATATATATAAAAATTAGCCGGCACTGGCGTGCCCGCCACCGCATCAGCCTGTAGTCCAGCTATCGGAGGCTGCAGGCAGGAGGATCGCGTTGCAGCCCAGGCGATTGAGGCGTTTGCTGTGGAGCTAGGCTGACGCCACGCGCACCCTGCCACTCTAGCCTGGCAACACCAGTGAGACTCTTCTCAAAAAAAAAAAAAAAAAAAAAACCCAAAAATCCCTTGCATGCCTTGTGTCAATTGGAGAATTTTACCATGCTTTTTCCATTTCATCATTGTAAAACCAGGACAATTTTAGTAACTTTTTGTACATAGGCGTGTTACATGTAGCGCAATCTGTCTTTAAGTAGGGATAAATTACTCTAAACAAGAAGGAAGATGCATCCTAGATAGTTTTCTCTCTCCAAGTCAAGGTCTTGTTAGTTTAAATAAACCTTCTTGTTTAAATTGAAAAAAAAAAAAG